TTAAGGGGCTTACCATTAGACTAGATGTAATTAAGGGGCCTACATTAGACTAGATGTAATTAAGGGGCCTACCAATAGACTAAATGTAATTAAGGGGCTTACCATTAAACTAAATGTAATTAAGGGGCCTACCATTAGACTAGATGTAATTAAGGGGCCTACCAATAGACTAAATGTAATTAAGGGGCTTACCATTAGACTAGATGTAATTAAGGGGCTTACCATTAGACTAGATGTAATTAAGGGGCCTACCAATAGAGTAGATGTAATTAAGGGGTGTACCAATAGACTAAATGTAATTAAGGGGTGTACCAATAGACTAAATGTAATTAAGGGGCCTACCATTAGACTAGATGTATTTAAGGGGCTTACCAATAGACTAGATGTAATTAAGGGGCCTACCATTAGACTAAATGTAATTAAGGGGCCTACCATTAGACTAGATGTAATTAAGGGGCCTACCAATAGACTAAATGTAATTAAGGGGCTTACCAATAGACTAAATGTAATTAAGGGGCCTACCAATAGACTAAATGCAATTAAGGGGCTTACAAATAGAGTAGATGTAATTAAGGGGTGTACCAATAGACTAAATGTAATTAAGGGGCTTACCAATAGACTAGATGTAATTAAGGGGTGTACCAATAGACTAAATGTAATTAAGGGGCTTACCAATAGACTAGATGTAATTAAGGGGTGTACCAATAGACTAAATGTAATTAAGGGGCCTACCAATAGACTAGATATAATTTAGGGGCCTACCAATAGAGTGGATGTAATTAAGGGGCTTACAAATAGAGTAGATGTAATTATGGGGCTTACCAATAGACTAGATGTAATTAAGGGGTGTACCAATAGACTAAATGTAATTAAGGGGCCTACCAATAGACTAGATATAATTTAGGGGCCTACCAATAGAGTGGATGTAATTAAGGGGCTTACAAATAAAGTAGATGTAATTAAGGGGCCTACCAATAGACTAAATGTAATTAAGGGGTGTACCAATAGACTAAATGTAATTAAGGGGCCTACCAATAGACTAGATATAATTTAGGGGCCTACCAATAGAGTGGATGTAATTAAGGGGCTTACAAATAGAGTAGATGTAATTAAGGGGTGTACCAATAGACTAAATGTAATTAAGGGGCGTACCAATAGACTAAATGTAATTAAGGGGCCTACCAATAGACTAGATGTAATTTAGGGGCCTACCAATAGAGTGGATGTATTTAAGGGGTTTACAAATTAGAG